TTTACCGGTATATACATCTGGTGGCAAAAAGCAAATTTCTATCAAAGGTCAATCAAACTATAATACTAAAAGAACATTGTTTTGTATAATAAAGATACAAAACAGCAGTTAAGTAATAAAATAAAAGATAGTTATGCAGAATTTTGTGAAATTATATTTTTTATGTTTAATATTTTTATAGTTAGGACTTGATTATATAATCTTTTCAAACAGAATAATGTCAATAAAGTATTACTGTTATTGCAATATTTGGGTCGGCAGGTGCTGCTGTCACAGTTCACGACAATTATTTCATAAAATCTATCACTATGTCATGTTTCATTTACTTCCTCTGCAACAAGAGTTCTATGGTGTATATGAAATAACCATATACCATAGAAGTAGTATTGTATGGGGGTCAATCATATACCTGGGAAATCATAATGTCAGTCCCATTCTACATCAGACAGCTAATAAGGTGACGATGAAGCCTAGTTATAATCGTTTGTATAAATTATACGTGTTCATCTGTCGACGGAACCTCGTTAGCTTTGAGACGAGTAGTTCTGTACAGAGAAAGTACCTTATTATATTATGTTAGACGGCAGAAGACAGCAGTGTCATATATGTGTGCACTGTATCTATTGATTAACTAATCTAATAGCTCATGAATTAGCAAATGTACACTGCGGAGTATGGAATATTGAAATTTAATAGTGCTGTACTTTGACCGATAGAAGATCATCATTTGGATCAAATCGAAGAGTAAATCATCAAAATGCCCCAGTTTGTTATATGATAGTGAAGTCTCGAAAACTTACATCGTCAATAAATTAAGCCAAGAAAAGACACTAATAACTGTTACAAATGATAATCTTAGTCATGAAAAATACATTACAAATGCGAATATTCTTTAGGGGTCTACATAATATTATACATATATATATATATAACAATGCATCAAAAGGTGAACCTAACATGTGCTGTGTTCACACGATTAACAATGTGTTCACTGTACCTCAGTTAACATAGTCAACAAAACCCATAGTCCCATATACCAGTAACTCGAGTCGCAATGCCATGATGATGGGGAATTCACATTCAAATCTATAATTGTCTTATGCATTACTTTTACTGATATACAAGGTGATGATGATAGAATTATATTATCATGTGGTCCCAAGCATTTGTTTTTGTAGAGAAATATATGGCACCATCAATCTACTAAATACAAAATTAAATTGCGCACAGAGAACTGAAAACAGACTTCGGCTTTGAAAACTACTTATACGTAGTCAAAAACATCCATCATATGTCGTCAATGACAAAATTGAGGATTAGTGCTCACAGACTACAAATAGAGACTATGAGATATAACAACACAGGTATATCCAACAGAAAGTGTTTATTTTGTGGGAAGAACGCCATAGAGGATAAAGTACATTTTTTGTTAACATGTGATCTTTACACAGGAAAAAAACAAAACTTTATCAGCGATTATCACCCCGACATTTAGCAAAAAATAAAGAAAAACTAAAATATTTTGACAATGATAGCAGAGTCGCATCTATTCAACTCTTCAATCTGCCGTTACAGGTAATTGCAACCAGAATTAGGATAGAGCCCGTGGACAGTCAGCGTTTCTGGTCAGCGTGCTCGCCATTAAAGAAGAGCGGACCACAGTCATAGGGACTGTGAGCCCCGGACCGACCGACCGACCGTTTTCTCCAACTTACTAGTATTTCACTAAACAGCGCCTTCTATTGACGAAGTTATAACACCTGCAAAAATTCTTCCAAGAATTCCACTTGGTGTACCCTTGGTCGAAATTTAACAATCGATATTTTTTTGCAATAATAGATAAAAGACGCTTATAACCCATATTTATTTGAGTTTTCCACCCATGGTAAAATTATATAATTATGTGAGTTTCTCCTCAATGAGTGACATACGCTGTCACTGTTTAAAGGGCGGTGGTCGTCGTGTCGCGTCCTGTTCGATATGGGACTCATAGCGACGTATACAACGCGTGTAAAATACATTGTTTATTTACATGAAATTCGAACACGCGCTGCGCGACGACCACCGCGCTTTAAGTGTATAAAGTGTTAGGTACACAGCTGCATTGCATACAGTCATAAGTGATTTTCTGTGTTATATGTACTCTTATTCACACTCAAGTATGCCACTGTCAAGATATTATCGACTTGATTTGACCTTAATTGCCAATATTTCATTAGTTAATTGTGCTAGTTTTTTTTTTTTTTTTTTTGTAAAATACACACATTGAACTTGCTGGTACGCATATTTTCATATCGATTCTTAAATGTAAAAACCAAGAGACAGTGATGCGCGTTTGGAAATACAGATGATACTTTTTTAAAGTACAGATAAAATACGAACGATCTTTTTTTGTTTATTGGCACTGAGGCTGGTGTCCATGGTCGTGACTGTGATTTACACGAGGTGCAGTCAATTGTGCTGCTCGTCGAAAAAACTGTTCCAATTGCACGAAGATTATTTGAGGCCATTTGAGGGCAGGAAAAACCTTTCCATTTTAGGGGGCAGGGGAAAGTTTGCAATTTCCAAGGACAGGCGAAATTATGTGCATAGTTATCGAACCTTCTATAACCCGCGGACAACCGGTAGGCAGCGCCTACAATGAAAAAAAGTTCGGCAGTCTGTGACATCAAGCTATGTGATATGCATTTTCGATTTGTCCTGTATCACGCCACACTGTGGAGATTCGCATGTTATGCATGTGATAAACTCTCCTTGCATGTGCCAATTTCCCACTTAGTGTTACTCCCATAGTGCGCCATTTACGCCATTTCTACCATTAGTGTATCAATTACTACCCCACGGTAATTCAAGTGTGCAATTTACTCTTACAATGTGCCATTTACCTTCTTACTTTGTCACTCCCTCAGTGTGTCATTCACTCCCTTGTTTCAATATTTCCCCCAGTTTTCTATATTTACCTATTAGTGTGTAATTAACTCCCTTAGTATGCCATTAATTCCAGTGTCATTTAATCACTTAGTGTTATTCACTCCCCTAGTTATCCATTCTCTTTCTTAGTGTTGTTTACTTCCTTGGTGTCATTTCCTCACTTAGTGTCATTAACATTCTCAGTGTTATTTCCTTCAGTGACATTTACTTCCTTAGCGTGCAATTTACTTACTCACTCTGCCATTTCCTCTCTTAGCATGCCAGTTGTCCCCTTAGTCACGGTTACTCTTTTAGTAACCGTGCCTTAGTAATAATAATAGTCTTTTTTGAAGTTTTTGAAGTATCTTAAAAATGGACATAGATCAACGTACAATAAAGCATGGTTGTCATGACAAAAACATACACTAGAAAAAACAAACATACACTAGAAAAACAACAACACAGCAACGTCATATGATTGACTCCCTTAGCGTGTCATACATAAACTTTTTTTTATTGATGGTGATTTTAATCACATGGTTTTATTCTATGTTTTAATAATCAGTCTGCATAATGCCATAATCCTTTGCATTTCCCTGTTGCAAGATAAATAAACCATGCTAGTAAAAATAAATTACACAGTGGATCTTCATGTATGCGTTGTATATAAATATTCTAGTTAGACAATGGTGGTGTAGACATTTTGAATGGAAATCATACTCTTTACCACTGTTCTTGAACTTTGGATATTTCATTAACTCAGAATTTATTAACTCAATAATGTTAGATATTGAATACGTTGTTGTATACATTCCAAATTTAATACAGACCTGATAACCTGTAAATAATATTATAAAAAATGTTTAATTAAAATTGTGATCAAATTTGTAGGACAATAGATTTTATTATTGTTATACGTCTGTTTAAATGAGTGAAATCATACACATACCAATTGCTTTGAAATTAATATTAAACAAGCAGTCTCTCCGCTGAGATAGCTCCGCTGTTAGCAATATGTATAATATCAAAGCAAGAATTCAAAAATATCACTTTTTACCAAAAATTACAAAAATATTCATCAAAATCAGAGAATTGAAGATGTCATAACGAAATGAAGAAATCTGAGCGAGGTCTACTTGTAGTACCTATATGTATAATATCAAAGCAATCAGACTTAAGTCGACAACAGAGCTTAAAAGTTGACGACAGACTACATACACTGGACGACGGACAATCAGTAATAAGAAAGGCTCTGCGTCGTTGACTTTGTTGACAAGTACAGCCCATGATGCCATGAGTATCAACAAGCTTTACAAATAGGTGATATCATGTAATGACTTTTTTATCACGTGAATGAGTGTCAAACAAGATAGAAACTTCATTTATTACCGTAATCCCACACTAAATTAGGTGTGATATATTTGTGCATCAGGAGATGGACATTTGCAGTTACGACAGCCATTGGTTTTCAAAATCAGTGTAGATATTACCCTTCCTGGGGCTATTTTTTTTCATCTTCATTATTATGAATGATTGTCATTACACTATGAGGTAATTGTTGTTATCGCGTCTGATATTCTCATATTGTACATTAAAAATGGTAACATTGCATGATTTGGTTTTCTCAATGTACTGTTTAAGCACACACAGCCTGATGACGTTTATCAGTAAATCACCACGTTTGTTATTCTGCACTAAACGTAGCTACTATGAATGATATGTTCATGTGATAATATGTATTGGTTGCCCATTGTAACACAGCAGTGTTACAAGAACACCGGGAGGGATATAATAAGGGTGATCCTAGTAGTTTTCCCAGCAGAAATTGCTGATATATATTGTTATACAAGGTCATATAAAAAAAAAATAGGGATCACGGATAAAAATATTTAGATAAACATGATTCTTATGATTTTTGTTGTTGTAAACTCAAGATAATTAAACAATATGCCAGGAACTACATTTTTGAAAACTAATGCTTATGCTTATGCTAATACATGTCCACCTTGAACATATGAGCCTCTTGATGAGCCTGACTCATCCTTAACTATTCTTATAAAAAAATAAACAATACTGTACATGTGTATGTATTTAATAAGAAAATGTTTAATATACATAATATACAGGTTTGTAAAATAAAATGTATTAATGAGATAAAGACAATGTTGCATTATGTAAGTAGACCCAACAAAGCTTGTTTTCAAATAGGAGCTGTTATGCCGAGCAATATGACATCAATTCTTGACTTGTTTTATTCCTTTCCAGTAATAGAATTTGTCAAATATAGTTTTATACTTCTTAATGAATAGTTTCCTTATTTCTTCATTTTTCATTATAACTTTAGTGAGTGGTGTTTCATTGGCAGCGACAGTTGTCATATCAAACTTAGGAAATGGTCTATAGAAATGTAAAGAAAAGAGTTAATTTTGTAGTTGAATACACTCTGATGTATAACACTTAACAGTGTAAAACTTCAGTATGAGGAAAAGTGACAAAGTTACACTTACTGTGAGTCTGTTTCTGAAAGTTTTCTTGTAAAATGTTGAATTTTAAAATGCGTAACATGTTCCCTTCCACTAGGCAGTCCAAGTATAACGCTATTGACGATGCAGAGAGTCTGACTTCTGTTAAGTCCTAGCTGTGTACACATGTTAACAAACGAATAGATAATCATCTCAGCTAATTTCTCCTTGGTTGATATTACAGCATCTGTAAATGATATTAATTGTGATACAGGTGGTGAGAATGTTGGTATCTTTTGTACTGTTATATTAATAATGCTTTGTCTTTCTAAGAAGGGAGTTAATTTTTCTATTGTCCGTATAATACATGTAAGTGAAACGCACCATGAGAGTACCACAATTAATGTAGATAAGGATAACTTGAAATCTACATAAAATTTTTCACACATACATATACACTGAATGTTGAATAGACTGATAAAACTAATATTATGTGGTTATTCACAAAATACCAGAAATTACTACATGACTGAGTGATTGCCCAGTGCATCGTACACAGAAGATATTCCCAAGATGTGAGACACTTTTGTGGACAAAGACCATTTAAATAATCGAAAGAGAAGTCTACAGTTGAGTTTGTACAGTGACAACACTCATTTGCATAACATTCAGAACGTTGCTTCGGCTTCGACATCCCCCACATAGCTTGTAGTCTGCTGTTTCAATCGCAGTCAATATACTAGGACATGATGGTTAGGATTAACGACCCCCAGAACTTTATCCTGCTGTTGTAGTGCTTTTGAATAATTTCACTGATTTATATATGAGGAAATGCCGGCAATGAGTTCCGTTAAGGCGAAAGAATCCTGGCCGCTGATATTTAAAGTTGATTACATCTTTTGGTTGTTAGTACATGTTATTATACTTCTTGAAGATATTCGTAACATGACTACACTAATATATTTACTAGACATTTTTTACAGCTGTTATGAATGCATATTATGTTTTGGTCCAATTGAGTAAGAAATGCGCACTCAGAATTTGCGTTTGAGTGTGCAAATTTTGAATACATCACTGACAGCGTCTAGTGGCAACCTAGTTCTGAAAGTAATATTTCAGTTGACATTTTCTTTCCAGCATCTTTAAATAATAATGTATAATAATGAAGTTATTCACAAAATATTAGGTTCTTGTACATGGTATGCTTCGGCATATAGGATCTGCTATTATTTGCTTTGCGTTTGAATTAATCAAGGTCAAACAAAGTTCAATAAAATGAATAGAATTATTGTAGCGCCACTTCGTGCCATAGGTTACAGAGGTAGGTATATAATAATATTATTTATCTGAATATTAAATGCTGAAGCCATTGACTGAAAACATAAATCATTCATAAGTACATGTAGTTGAGTCCAATTCAGGTTTCAACAAAAATAAAATTCAACGTACCTGATTTGTTAAAACTAAGTGGACATGTGACATCTACACTGATAGGGTCTTCTAATGTTGTACTGATACTTAAAGAGTTATTCCAAGGTTTATCAATGTTATCCAAACTCCATATTATCTCAGGTTTTATGATATGTGTAGCTCTTAGAATCTGTTTGAGTCGAGTAATTGGCACAGCGCTTACAAAACTATACACTGTACAATGACTGGATATCTTAGTGCGTATTTCTGCTGCTACTGTTGATAGCTGAGATGGTAACACACAGATAAATAAGACATGTACAGAGGAAGCCAGGAGAGCATTATTATGAAAACACTGTACTCCTCGTTCTTGAAGATCACCTGATGAAAAAATAGATAGATATTTCGAGATACAATGCAATATACATCAAAAGGTACATGTAAGTAATAAATACATTTGAAGGTGACACTGTATGCATCTCCCACAAAATGAAGCCATCCCACCCTTTTACAGGTGCTTTCACAGTTTGAATTTCAAAATTATCAGCTGACAATCTGCAAATCTACCAAAACACAGTTTCGTGACAATAGGCTTGTTGCTGAATTCTTTTCAATTGTTAGACAAACGAGTAGAAGACAGAATTGTCTCTGGTTAAAGATTGATGCAGTGTCACATCTTTTTTTCCCCATTTTTTTTTAATGTACAATTTCTTTTTTTGCCTTAGTACAAAGTTTTGCTGATAAACGGCTGCAATAATCTGATGCAGATTGCACTAAGAATTCTAGTTGTTTGGCCTTTAATAGTTGTTATATGCTAATACATACACTTCAAGTAAAAATACAACAAACCTAGAGTTTCTGGTCTTCTGGTTGAAATTCTTAGTTCATTTGGTGCAACGTCTGCATATGTAAGTAAAGTGTTAGCAAGATGAGTTCCTAGACGTCCACAACCAAGAATGCCTACTTGTACTGGATTCTTATCTTGAGAGTCTTGAAGAAATTTGGATGATTTTATCATCTTAGGGTTATGGAGTTCAACTATTTCTTGCCTGTTGAAATAAAGTGAATCAAACAGCGTAACTATAGGATGTGTTGATTGAATGGTGGATAAGAAACACATAATTATTTAGACCAGCCACTTTAAACACGGTGAGGATCACGTTCATGTTTAGACCAACCACTCCACTCTGTGAACAAGCAAATATAAAAATCAGGTGATCTAAAATTTTCAAAGCGCAAGTAAACATTCATTGTTAACATTCATATGTAATTTGACACTTTACAATCATTATAGTTGTAGATTATTCAAGTTGCAGCAGTAGGGTCCTGAGCCAATGATGGGAAATATTTGATTGTTTGAATTAATGTGAATTGTGTCAAATAGGTACAAATACAATTTTCAATGATTATCAGTGAGTGCAAATATTGACAAACGTTCCGGCTATCCATGTACAGTAACTGTTTTAGTTTAATTTGCTTATATAAACACTGTCACTGTACACTGTCATCGCCCTATTGTGTTGTACACCAAAAACATTGCCAGCTAAGTTGCATCATGGAGCTGAGCTCCATGGTTGCATTAGAATCAGCAGGCTGACTGGCCAGAAACAAGTATTATTTAGTGATTTGGGGGTTTCGGAGCGTGGATGAATAAATTTAATGATATAGGCTTGTATTACATTACTAAACTGTTTAATTCATTCCGCCAGATATACGTTTATGTATTGACTTCAGCAACCAACCACACGAATAGATCGTCAAGCCCCTATGAACTGAACATGGTACATGTACATGCACAGGGAGCCCAGGAACTATAATCAACTGTAATACGCAGTCTCTATGAGAGGGGGGGGGTATAGGCTGGTGTCTAGTGTAAGAAATAGACAAGGGATGAAGGCTCCAGCCAGCTCATATTTTTTAAACTCGAAAAAACAGACGAAAAGAATAAAAAATAAAATCTAAAAAAAATACCAGGTTGAAGAATATTAGTTGAGCAAGACTAACCGAGTCGTGACCTCGATGTGGTTCGTAACCAGTCTTGTGATTGGTTGTTGACAAATGCTGAACAGGCCACGCCTCCAACTGTGCCGTGCGTTCGGGCAAACCGTTAGGAATTCCTAAATGGAGTAAATTTGTGTAGTTTTCTTGATTTATTCTGCAGATATCGGTAAAATATAGGTATGGCTTTGGCGAAATTTGAAGAAG